AAAAAAAAAACTGAACAAAATTGATTTTATCTCTCTCTTTTAATGCAAAAATAGTAGAAACCTAATAGTCTACTTAACATCAAAATCGTGAAAAATACTGATAATTCGAGTTAGGATGACGTCTAGAAAAATGTGCATAAAAATCGTATTCGCACATAAACAATTGCAAAAGTTATAAACGAATAAAGACTACAAAAAAAGAAATTACGTTTTTTTGCATATACATAACTCGAAAAATATAAGCGTTAGCGTCAATTTAAAAAAAGATCCTAAAAGAAGAGGAAATTTTCTATGAGAATGTTGAAAATAGAGCTTTTAGCGTCTAAAGTAATACACGTACTGCGCCGTGAAACCGACGTTAAGACATAAAAAAATAGATTAATTATTAAGATAAATATAAAAAAAAATTGAATTTGCATAATTTTTAATAAAAATTCTTATATTGTTTAAACAATTCGAGTATTCGGTTGAGTTAAATATTTATTGTACTATAAGTTTTTTATTGCTTAATAAAATCACCTTGAAGGTTCACATTTGTAACTTCAATAGTTTAGAAGATATAAACAGTTACACTTAATAATACGAAGAAATGCTTCATTTTTTATAAACAAATTTATGTAACTAACGATCTACAATAGCTACAAACTTCATTTGAAAGATCTATTAATATTCCACAAAATTGTCTTTTGAGTGTCCATAACTGTATCTTTAATAGTTTAAAAGTTATATAAAGTAAAGTTATAAGTAAACAAATCGCATGACCGCTCTAAAAAATTCTTTAAAAAATCGAAAAATTATTATATATGGTTGGTTCTGTTATTTATTTCTCTATCTAAAAAAAATAACAGCACTTTTGACGATTGTTAAGTAAATAAACTATTAAATTTTCAACAATTTTTTTTCTGTAATTTTTTCTTAAAAACCATAATGTATCTACTCGAAATTTTTACTAATGTTTTTTAATGTCACTTTCTAACAAAAACAGTTCCAATATTATTTTCCTTTAAAAAAAATATTTTGACCACTTTTTATTAATTTTTAATTTTTTGTTAACTAAGAAAATTAATAACTTTAAGATATCGCAATAAGGTGATCCCATTAAATATAGTTGTCAAAAGGTTTTTGAATGTTAACGCGAACTCTAAAATTTTTAGTTAATTAACATTTTTATAGGAAATTTCCTCTTTTTTAGGATCTTTTTCAAATGACGCTAACGCTTATATTTTTCGAGATATATGCAAAAAACACTTTTTTTAATGTTTATTTGTTTATAACTTTTGCAATTGTTTATGTGCGAATACGATTTGTATGCACATTTTTTATACATCATCCCGAATCGAATGAGCCCTCAAATATCCATTAGCTTGAATTATCAGTATTTTTCACTATTTTGAAGATGTTGACTAGACTATCTACGATGATCGCCAAAATTCTCGCTTATGTTCAATGTAAACAATGTAAATTCAAGAAAAATAATTAAAGCGAACAATTTGTATTTCCAATTGCAGATTTTTAGTGGCGTTGTCAACAATTTTTTAATGAAACATCTCGGATATTTCAATGGGTAATAATAACATATCTGTCGTTGTTAATTTTAGAAAATCTTTAGACTTCCGAAAAAAGTCAGTCATTTAGAGCAATACATTCAATATATTTTGCAACCGATGGATGGGCTTAACTTTTCAGTTTTTTCAAAAAATTTTACACCAAAGACCCCTGTTAATTTTCATCAGGGAATCGCCCCTTACACTTTTTCAGTGTTATTTAGATTAGTAAATTCATAAAGTATATTCATTATCAAGAAATATCGAAAGAATGGGTTGGTGATTGGTTGGTCAATGAACCAGTCTGAAAATAAATTTGAATTGGTTGAATTGATGCACGATATACCTGGACCTTGGTGTTGTCACCGTAATATAAAATTTACACATTTTTTATTACTTTGAAAACCCAAACCCTCCACATTTTATTAGATATGGTACAATTAGTTTACTTTCTATTCTGAAAATTATCCTAATGACCGTTCAATTTATATTTACTGTTAAAAGATATGTTTTGTAGTATATTTATTTATAAATAAATATATTTATTTTTTTTAACTATTATTTGATTTTTAAGGGAGTCCTTTTAAACTTTTAGCTCCGGACATCTCAGAACCTTAATCGGGCCATGTTTAGAGATGAGAGTATAAGACTCAATATTCGGTAAAGGAAGGTTTCCGATAGCACTGGCCTCGTTAACTGCCAATAGTGTCTGCTAGTGGGAAAATGATTACTTTTTTCTTAACGTTTTTTAAAGATAAAGCAATAAATCCAGTTATTTATCATATGAGTCGAAAAAGGGATTTTCTCACATATGTTAAAATTGAAAAGTTGAATATCATTCACTGTAAAATTGTAAAATTAAAAAACAGAAGTATGCCTGAGTAACTTAGAACTACAAAGTTATTTGAATTCATAAAACATTTTTAAATTGTAATTTTAAAGTGTAATATTTTTGCTTCCAGATTACCTCAGGATATTTATCAAACCGCCAAGGTAGCTAAAGTTCTTCTTTTACTTGAAAAGGGAAGGGGAAAAGAGTTTCGGGGCAAGAGTCTAGGTGAAATTGAACTTGACAAAGATGTGTACTATAGTTCTGAATCAGAAGAAGACTCCGTTGGTAACATTAGAAATGAGAAATTGATGAAAACAAAAAAAAGAAAAGCACAGATATCGGACAATGAAACAGACAACGAGGATCTGGAGGGATCTGCTCATGATATAAAATTGTCTGCAAAAAGTAGTTTTGTCGGAAAAATCTCGCATAGAAGTAGTAATGAACAATCATTGGAAGAAGGAATAGATTTGAATCGGAAAGAGAAGAAAGAAGATTCAAACAGAAAAGAAATATCAAGAAATAAAAGTAATGAAGCAAAAGTGGATGAGAAGAAAAAAGAAAAATCGAACAAAATGGAAATATTACGGAATGAAATCGAAACAGAAAAAGATCAGAAAATAAAATTGTCCAAAAAACCATTAAAAAAAATACAGGGACGTGTTCGATGGACTCCTAAAGAAAAAGAAATAGTTGGTAAATATTTTGAAACGCATATAAAAAAAAAGATAACACCTAGAAAATATGAATGCGACGAGTTTATAAAAAAACATGGAAAGTTGCTCGTAAACAAAGATTGGGTTAAAATAAAAACGTTTGTGTATAATTGTTTCAGAGTTTATAATTAAAAGTTTAACCTTTTATTGGTACTTAACGAAGTCCTTATATGTTTTATGTTCCTCCTATGTTTTACATTTACCTATAATCTTTTTAGACCAGTTAGGGGCTAACCCCTATTATTTGATGTTTAAACAATGTTTTTTTATTTTCCATAAGCGCTTCACAATGTTAGTTTGAATTCCAAATAAAATTTAAGGCTAAGATGCTTTGTTATTTTCCTGTTTATTTCCTGTATAAACGTTCAATCACTTCGTAGCTTTTCAGCATACAACAAAAAGTCTTTAATTTTTCCCTATGAATTTAATACATAATTTTAACATCATACTAATACTAAAAAAGGTAACTTCACAAATGGTTTTAAAGTAAAAAGTATAGGTACCTATATCTAAAATGGCAAAATTTTTTAATATGTTAGAATCACTGGGATTTTAATAGCAGGAAGGATTATTTTGTAGATATACCTCTTACATTTGTAATTCAAATTTGGTACACTAAGTTTTTATCCCCCTTCAGGTGTTACAAGCACAATCACGATGTTTAATAACCTTCTTAGGAAAATCAATAGAGCATCCAATCAGTGATTTTGTGACAAAAATACTAGTAGCAAACGGACTGTGTCGTCATATAAATAGCAGTTTGTAGATATAGCCCGATTACTTCGGGCTACTCGCTCGGCTGCTGAGAGGGAAAAACACACAAATCAATCAATTTTTACAGTTTATTATAAAATAACATACTTACACTCCACAAGGGGTTGCTTATCAAGTGGCGGCTCCTGCCCATCAACTGGCTCTCAAGGTGGCTCCGGACTGGCCCCGATTCACCAAGTTTCCGGGGTTTAAATATTCTTTACAAAATGCTGAGTACATTAGAATTAAACCACCAGTAGAAGAATCGGGAACAATGTCTGAATCAGTTCACCAGTTTATAGAGAGAGAAAGAGCAAGATGGACATAGTGCAAGGGTCAGTTCAATTTGCAACTGGACACTTTTCGTTGCTTTTAAATCTATTGTGCAATACTGACATGTAATTGATTCTAATTATATTTATAAATTTTGTTCTATTAAATGAATTAAATGAATAAGTATTTGTACTGAGAGTATTTTTGTAAAAATCTACTAAAGAAAAATGTGTCCAAATAAAATAATGTCCATACATATTTATTTTTCAAAGTTTTGGCTATATTTACAGGTTGATTATTTAAATTTTGAATATTACTTTTCCTCTCTCTAAAATACTTATAGTTGATAATATGCTTATATGTTTCCTACTCCAATTTACCATAATTAATACTTGATAAATATTTTTATGCATTTATAGTTAGTTAACTAGAAATGTTAAACTTAGCATTTTTGCATAAATCACAAATAAAAAAATTGCCGATTTGACACGACGTTACCCATCATATTTCAAGCTAACGGTTTTCTGGTGACACTTTAGTATAAGACTACTGGTTACGTTGTAACCAAAATTTTTCTTTATAAAATATTTGTAGAATATAAAAAGTGTTTTATTTGGTTTGAGTAATATCAAAATAAAAGTAGCAAAAAACGAAATAAGCGAATCTGGGTAGTGGTTAAATGTAAGGGTAGCTGTAAATGTTCTTAAACACTTGAAAATATATCGGGCATCGTAACATACGCGAAATATAATAGTGTATATACAGGCAGCGCGGTGGGCCCTCTGGTGGCAATCGTTCCGAACTAAAGGTGCATAAATTGAGATATTATACCGACTTGGGAAGCCCTTTCAATTTAATCGAAATAACAACAGATGGAGTTACCTAGCCATGATAGAGTTATATACACAACAATTTTTAGGAAGCCCGAATCGGGCTTCGTAAAACTTACATGGGCTTCGTAACATCCGTGAAGTATATCATCTTGGGCTTTGTAATGCTGGTTTACATGTATATATATATATATATATACACATTTTTTATACA